AAAAAATACATGTAAGCGAAAGGTAAAATAAAAGACCAAGAATGGGGCACCTGGGGGGCTCACTTGGTTAAGCGTCTGCCTTCTGCTCGGGTCATGATCTCAGGGTCCTGGGATCAAGCCTCACATTGGGCTCTCTGCTGAGCAGGGAGCCTGCTTCTCTTTCTCCCTCTGTTTGCTGCTCCCCCTGGTCATGCTTGCTATTTCTCCCTCTCAAATAAATAAATAAAAATCTTAGGGGAAAAAAAAAAAGACCAAGAACATCTATGAACCCACCAATCCAGAAGAACCCACCTCTGTTCCTTCTCTGGTTTGTTATCATCTTTCAGGTCCCTTTATGTGTATTTCTTTAAGTAGAAAATTGAACTTTTTTTTTTTTAAGCAAGATGTTGACATTTAGCAAGATTTTTTTTTCCTTCCTTCTTTCCTCCCTCCCCCACTCCTTCCTTTCTTCCTTCCTTCCTTCCTCTCTTTCTTTCCTTTTTTGCCTATGTAGAAAAAGTAATGGATAAGGGGCATTAGGATCTTATAGATGTGCTTTCAGTGTTTAAGAAGAAATCTCAATAGCCACATAGAAATTCCACAAGAAAACATAAAACATTGTCAAAGAAAGTAATCAAATGATAATTAAGTACTTAAGATGACAGAAGCACTAAATGTTGATTTAACCAAATACAGTGCCTTAACTATATTGAGTGTATGTGGGGAAGAGTGAATTCCTCTATGTGAATTCCTTGTTTATGCCCTTAGCCAGTTTTCTTTTTTTTTTTTTAATTTAAAAAAATTTTTTTAAATTTTTTATTTAAAGATTTTTATTTATTTATTTGACAGACAGAGATCACAAGTGGGCAGAGAGGCAGGCAGAGAGAGAGGTGGAGGCAGGCTCCCTGCGGAGCAGAGAGCCCGATGCGGCTGGGATCATGACCTGAGCTGAAGGCAGCGGCTTAACCCACTGAGCCACCCAGGCGCCCCCCTTAGCCAGTTTTCTATTTGAATGTTTCTTTTTCTTACAGATTGGTAAGATTTCTTTAAATATGTAAATTCATTAATCTTTTGTGTATCATCTGTGTTGCATATATTTTCCCTATTTTCTCAGGTGCCTTTTAGTTTAATTTAGAGTTCTTTTTGTTTGTTTATTTGTTTATTGACCTTTTTTTTTTTAGGTAATTGGTGAGTATTCTTTTAAAAAAATTTTTTTTTTAGGTTATTTATTTATTTATTTATTTGACAGAAAGAGATCACAAGCAGAGAGAGAGGCAGGCAGAGAGAGAGGAGGAAGCAGGCTCCCCGCTGAACAGAGAGCCCTATGCGGGGCTTGATCCCAGGACCCTGAGATCATGACCTGAGCCGAAGGCAGTGGCTCAACCCACCGAGCCACCCAGGCACCCCTTTAAAAAAATTTTTAACAAAAATATAATGTATCATTAGCCCCAGGGGTACAGCTCTGTGAATCGCCACCAGGTTTACACACTTCACAGCACTCATCATAGCACATACCCTCCCCAATGTCCATAACCCCCGCCCCCAGCAACCCTCAGTTTGTTTTGTGAGGTTGTTTGTGAGATTTGTTTTGTGAGTCTCTTATGGTTTGTCTCCCTCCCCATCCCATCTTGTTTCATTTATTCTTTTCCTACCCCCCAAACCCCTCATGTTGCATCTCCACTTCCTCATATCAGGGAGATCGTATGGTAGTTGTCTTTCTCTGATTGACTTATTTTGCTAAGCATCATACCCTCTAGTTCTATCCACGTTGTCACAAATGGCAAGATTTCATTTCTTTTGATGGCTGCATAGTATTCCATTGTATATATATACCACATCTTCTTTATCCATTCGTCTGTTGATGGACATCTAGGTTCTTTCCATAGTTTGGCTATTGTGGACATTGCTGCTATAAACATTTGGGTGCATGTGCCCCTTTGGATCACTACATTTGTATCTTTAGCATAAATACCCAGTAGTGAAATTGCTGGGTCGTAGGGTAGCTCTATTTTCAACTTTTTGAGGAACCTCCATGCTGTTTTCCAGAGTGGTTGCACCAGCTTGCATTCCCACCAACAATGTAGGAGGGTTCCCCTTTCTTTGCATCCTTGCCAGTATCTGTCATTTCCTGACTTGTTAATTTTAGCCATTCTGACTGGTGTAAGGTGGTATCTCATTGTGGTGTTGATTTGTATTTCACTGATGCTGAGTGATGTAGAGTACTTTTTCATGTGTCTGTTGGCCATCTGGATGTCTTCTTTGCAGAAATGTCTGTTCATGTCCTCTGCCCACTTCTTGATTGGATTATTTGTTCTTTGGGTGTTGAGTTTGCTAAGCTCTTTATAGATTTTGGATACTAGCCCTTTATCTGATATATCGTTTGCAAATATCTTCTCCCATTCTGTCAGTTGTCTTTTGGTTTTGTTGACTGTTTCCTTTGCTGTGCAAAAGCTTTTGATCTTGATGAAATCCCAATAGTTCATTTTTGTCCTTGCTTTGTTTATTGACTTTTAAGAGCCTTAAATGTTAGGTGTTCAAAGCTACTAGTCTCTTCCTTTTTGATTTATGCTCTTGGTGTTATCTTTAGTAAGTCATTAATTTATTATGTGAATTATCTTTATATTTCCTTTTAGTCCCTTGGAGATTTCTTATTTTACATTTATGTATTATTTTAAAAATTAGTTTTTACTTTTATTTAAGTAGTGTAGTAAAAAACGTCAAACTCTACTATAACATTTACAATGGAAGAAAATAGAAGCAGTACCTAGTCTCATTCTCCAGAGGCAACCATCCTGAACTTGTAAATATTATGCTTATTTAACTATGGGTTGGCTCTATCAGTTTCGGGGCATTGTCTTTGATTTCGTATCATGACAGATTAATATCTTATACTACTTCTCCTTTTATGTACTCCTTCCCACATACACTCAATATAGATAAGACTCAGTATTTGGTTAAATCAACATTTAGTGCATCTGTCGTTATAAGTACTTAATTATCATTTGATTGCTTTCTTTGACAATGCTTTATTTTTTTTGTGGAATTTCTATGTGGCTCTTCAGATTTCTTCTTAGACATTCAAACCCATCTATAAGATCATAATTCAATGGCCCTCATCCATTTTTTTCTCCAGAGGCAAAGTCATAAGATCGTCAGTTATATCTGCCCGCCCTGGGAACTGTATTTTATTTAATTTATTAGTTTCAGGAACAAACATAAGAGAACAGACCTATTTCTAAAGCAAACTGGGAGATTTCTGGACCTTTTTCGATGATCCATGTCATTGATGGTTCTCTGTTCTCCCTTTACTGACAGGTATTATACTGGCTCTGCAAACTCTTCCATCTCATTGCTCCCTCTGTAAGCTGCAATCAGTCTCCCTTGACAGCCTGCTCATGGCATTTACAAGACTTTTGGCCTTTCAGTGACTTACGCTTTTTGATTGTGACGTGATGGGCCAGGGTGATCCGTCATCCCACAATAATAATGTCAGCGCCTTCCTGAGTGAGCCCAGATGCTTTTGCCGAGTTTGAATAATGTTGAGATCAATGCCTTTTTCATTTGCTAAGATGGAAAGAGTTGACCTACTGGTCCCTTAAGCATCAGCTTTGGCACATTGACAAATCATATTATCCCTCTGTGTGCCTTGGAGGAGCAACACGTTGTTGATGTTTATGCTTCCTCCTATATCTAGAACTTCCCTGGACTTTGCCTCTGCTGTTCAAAAAAAGAAAGAAAGATGAGTCATTGTGTAGGGTAAAAAAAGGACATTGTTTACACTTACTGGGGCCAGAGGCAATTGTCTTTCCTCTTTCTGTTATGAGAGAAACGGTTTAATTCATAATTAATAGAAGTTTAGGGAGATTATGAAATTTAGGGAAGGATCATTGGACGATCCATTTACATGTAAAGCTAAGTATGAGAAGGCAAACTCTGGAATTCTCCTATTTCTTCCATTTTCTCAGCACACATGATACCCTAGCATTCCTGAACAGATCTGGAATGGTCCTGAATAAGGGCACAGTTTAGAAGAATCAAGGTGCCTGTAATGTTCAAGTTCTCCCACTAGTTTAAACCATCTTGTCTAATAATCCTTGCTTCAGAAAACAGCACTTGGAATAGGGAACCAGAGGGGTGACAGACCTATGGATGGTGTCGCACGAAAAATAGAAGTTTGTAATAGGGGGCCAGATAGTAAGGGTGTGTCCCCTAGCAGAGAAAGTAGGTTTTGTTCTCTTGTTTCTGAGGGTGAAGTAGAATCATAGGTTTTAAAAGTGGGGGACTGATAGAAAAAGAGTGGTAACCAGGAGATGGTACACCATGAAAATGTGATACCAAGGAGGAGAGGAGAAGTTGGAGCTGAGAGCTGAGCTAGAATAGGAAGCACTAGATACAAAAAGGAAGGCAAAACCAGAAGAAAGTAGAGGACTTAGGTAGGCATCATTACGATGAAGTAAATCTGGGTTGAGAGGCTTGGTGCTCTATGAGTATCTTCTCAAGCCAAGGACACGGTAAATGTTTCTCTCTTTCTTTTTTTTTTTTTTTTTTAAAAGATTTTATTTATTTATTTGACAGACAGAGATCACAAGTAGGCAGAGAGGCAGGCAGAGAGAGAGGGGGAAGCAGGCTCCCTGCTGAGCAGAGAGCCTGATGCAGGGCTCAATCCCAGGACCCTGAGATCACGACCTGAGCCGAAGGCAGAGACTTTAACCCACTGAGCCACCCAGGCGCCCCTAAATGTTTCTTTTTGAGGCACAGAAAGCACCTGAGATAGCAGTCACTCTGCATTCTTTTTTTAGCCACTTTCCGCATCTAACCTCCTGGTCACAAGGTTTTCCACCTACAGTAAGAGAAAATCCCTGGACACAGACGTCTTTTGACGGAATTAGGGTAGTGTGACTTTGGTGGCAATATAATCCTTATTAACAAAGATTCTGAGCTAACTATGCATTAACTCTAATGAAACATGCAAGCATACAGGTCATAACTAGCTTTAATTTCTTGTTTGTTTCAGGATATTGATGGATATTATAAAGGGAAACTTAGATGGAATTTCAAAACCATCCTCAAGTTCAAGAATACGTCCTGGGAGTAGAGATTCGAGTACTTCTTTGGAGGTACTCTCACCAGAACCGGCATCCTTCAAGGTACCTCGCTGTGTAGAAATGATTTCAAGTCCCTCTCTTGAACTCTAGCACTTGATAAACCAACGCTGTTGTTAATATCCCTCTTAAAGGATCCTCTTGAGAGGGTATGTTTTGGGACCACTCGCAGATTTCTTCTTGGATTTTACTTTAGATCATTTGGCAAATCACAATAAAGATACAGGACAGTTCTATCACTCCTCAAAAATTTCTTCATGCCACCCCTTTGTCCTTAATCCTCCTATTCTTTTTTTAAATTTAAATTCAGTTAATTAACACATAGTATATTATTAGTTTCAGAGGTACAGTTCAGTGATTCATCAGCTGCGTATAACACCCAATGCTCATTCTATCATGTGCCCTCCTTAATGTCCATCACCCAGTTACCCCATACCATCCCACCTCCCCTCCAGAAACCCTCAGTTTCTTTCCTATAAGTAAGAGTCTCTTATGGTTTGTCTTCCTCTCTGATTTTGTCTTATTTTGTTTTTCCATCTTTTCCCTATGGTCCTTTGTTTTATTTCTTAAATTCCTCATATCAGCAAGATCATATGATAATTATCTTTCTCTGATTGACTAACTGCGCTTAGAACTATCCTCTAGTTCCATCTACATTGTTGCAAATGGTAAGATTTCATTTTTTGATGGCTGTGTAATATTCCATCGTGTGTGTATATATGTGTGTGTGTGTGTGTATTTTATATCTATATATATAGACATATATATATCATCTCTTCTTTATCCGTTTATCTGTTGATGGCCATCTGGGCTCTTTCCGTAGATTGTCTATTTCACTCTGCCCTACTCTTAATCCTGGAAACTCCTGATCTACTCTCTACCTATTGTTTCCCTTTTTCCAGAGAGTCATATGAATGGAATTAAAAAGTGTGTAGCTTTTTGGGATGCCTGGGTGGCTCAGTGGGTTAAAGCCTCTGCCTTCGGCTTAGGTCATGATCTCAGTCCTGGGATAGAGCCCCACATTTGGCTCTCTGCTCAGCGGGGAGCCTGTTTCCCTCTCACTCTCTACTTGCCTCTCTGCCTGCTTGTGATCTCTGTCTCTCAAATAAATAAATAAACCCTTAAAAAAAAAAGTGTGTAGCTTTTGAGTCTGACTTTCCCTGTTGACACAATGCATTTGTGACTCCTCTATTGTTATAGGTATCAATAGTTCACTCCTTATTACTAATGAGTAATGTTCCTTTGTGTGGGTGTACCACAGTGTATTTATCCATTCAGATGTTAAGGAACATTTGGATTGTTTGCAGGTTTTGGTAATTATGAATAAGCTGCTATTAATATTTGTATACTGAATTTTTTGGGGGGGATAGTTTTTAATTTTTCTTGGGTAAATACCTAGGGGTTGGATTGCTGGGTTGTATGGTAAGTGTATGTTTAACTATAAGAAACTGCAAAACTGTTTTCTGTTGCCATGAGAAATATGAGAGTTCCAGCTGCTCAGCATCCTCACCAGCAGCTGATATTGTTAGTTTTTTTTTTTTTTTAAAGCCATTCTAATAGTTATATACTAGTTATCTCATTGTAATTTTAACTCACATTTTCCTGGTGACTAATAATGAATGTATTTTCATGTACTTCTTTGTAATTCACATATCTCTTTTGGAAAGTGTATTAGTTTTCTTTTCTTTCTTTTTTTTTTTAAAGATTTTATTTATTTATCTGACAGACAGAGATCACAAGCAGGCAGAGAGGCAGGCAGAGAGAGAGGAGGAAGCAGGCTCCCTGCTGAGCAGAGAGCCTGATTCGGGGCTGGGTCCCAGGACCCTGGGATCATGACCTGAGCTGAAGGCAGAGACTTTAACCCACTGAGCCTCCCAGGCATCCCAAGTGTATTAGTTTTCTTTGCCTGACTTTTAAAATTGTATTTTTTTCTTATTGTTAACTTTTGAGAGTTATATATATATATGTATATATATATATATATACATATATATATATATAAATGCAATTTTATACATATATATATATAATTGCATTTTTTTTCTTATAACTTCTGAGAGTTCTTTATGTATCATGTCAGATATATGATTTGCAAATATTTTCTTCTGGTCTGTAGCTTGACTTTTCATTCTTTTAACTGTGTCTTTTGAAGAGCAAAAACTTGAAATTTTGTTAACTGCAGTTTGTCAAAATTTTTTTGAGGCTTGTGTTTTATTGTTGCATCCAAGAATTCTTTGTTTAAGCCAGGGTTCCAAAGATTTCCTCCTGTGTTTTCTTCTGAAAGTGTTATAGTTTTATGTGTTACATTTTTGTATTTTGCATGTAGCCTCTGTTGTTGCCAATGAGAGGGCTTTTGTAAATCTGATATTCATTACAGTGTGTGCTGTCTGGTTTAGATATGTTTCTCTGGTTGCTTTAACTTTTTTCTCTTTGTCTTCAGTAGCTACTGTTACTCACCTTTGTATGGATTTATTTATTTTATCTTTCTGGTGATCAGAACTTCTTCAATCTGAGGATTTGTGTGTTTTGTTTATTTTGAAAAATTCTGTCATTTAAAAAAAATGTTTCTAATATCGCCTCCTTTTTTTCTCTTGCATCATCATGAAAGTCATATTAAATATCTGTTGAAATTTTCCCTGCTATCCTTTATTTCTCTTATCTTCTTTTTAATATTTTCTATTCATTTCTTTCTCTGTGTTTCATCCTGGGGACTTTTTAACATATATTTTTGAATTTTTGAATTCTTTCTTATACTATGTCAAATCTACTCTTTAATCCATTGAATTTTTTTTTAAAGATTTTATTTATTTATTTGACAGACAGAGATTACAAGTAGTCAGAGAGGCAGGCAGAGTGAGAGAGGGGGGTGGGGGGAAGCAGGTTCCCTGCAGAGCCGAGAGCCCGATGTGGGGCTTGATCCCAGGACCCTGAGATAATGACCCGAGCCTAAGGCAGAGGCTTTAACTCACTGTGCCACCCAGATGCCCCTAATCCATTGAATTTTTAAAGTTAAGGACATATTTTTAATTTCTGGAAGCCCTTTCTAGTTTATTTTCAAATAAACTAAAATATGGTTGGTGCTAATGGAGTGAGGAGCTGTGGGTAAAATTATAAAATGGGCAAAGTTTGCCTTTTGTTCTCCAGTTTCATCTTCTTGCTCCATTGCTTCTTGTTCATTCTAAGAGTTAGGATCATATGGGGTGATATATATAAAAGGTCTTTTTGTGTCCTGAAGTGTGTTATCATCCAAGTATATTGCTAATATCTAGTTATGTTTTCTATATTCTGTATTCCCCTATATAAACACCATTCTCTGGAAAAGGTCGGCCAAATTCATTTATGCCAAGATATAATTAACCGACAGGGCTCATGTGATCTCTTCCAACAATTTCAGCATTTTTACAGAACTCTGTAGCCTCAAGGATTCACTGGGTTTTACGGAATTTAAGGGTTTAACCCGGCCTTTCACAGAAGTGTGTTTTTGAACAGATCCAGTATAGAATGAAACCAGTAGAGGCCTAACTTACAAATAAGAAAAACAATGCCTATGTAATCTTGGCTCAGTTCCACTGGGACTTATGCCCTAGTCCAGGTGAACAGAGATGCTCCGTGCCGTCCTGTGTCCCTGGCAGCTTAATTCTCCATAACACCCACCTTCTGCCCTGGAGATTCACAGAGGGGCACAGATTCCCATGGCCGAGAGTTGACCACGTGGATGCAGAGAGAACAGAAAACCCTCCAAGGGCTGGATACTTACATTGGGAGGAGAAAGGTATTCCTCGCAGCAGTGGCTGACTCTTCTCTCTCTCTCTCTTTCTCTCTCAGGTTTTGCCTCTCCCTTGGGCTGTGTTCCCTTCCACTGTGACTCTCACTGCCACTCGCAGCTGTCAGGGGGCTACGATCCCTGTCCTGCCCCCCCCACCCATGCAGCCATGGATGTCTTTTCTTGTTCTTTCAGGAAAACACAGCTGCGCAAACTGGTGTTTTCAAAATGAGCATTGCTAAAATAGAAAGAGAAACCAAAATGAAATAGAAAAACTGTGACTAGCTTAAAAAAATAATCACGAAAGCACAGGATTCTGACTTGAAGACTCTCTTCAGAAGCACATCTCCATTCAGACTCTTTGCTTTTCAACTCTTCATAGCCACATGTAGCTAGTGGCCATCGCATGGGACAGCAGAGCGCTGACTCTCCATCCAAGTGTGAGCTCAGGGAGCGGGCACCATCATGCCTCATCTCCACGGTGGGCAGAGAATGGTTCCTTGTGGGACTGATTCCTGCCCCTTCTCTATATTGCTGGAAATTGCTGGGCAATGGGGCATCTCTCTTTGGTGCAAATGTTACTAAATTTAGTTGTGTAGTTAAATTATATTTAATAAAAAGTGTAATATTTCTAGACTAGTTTAACACTCATGTAAGTATGTGAGGACATACACACACTAGTGTTAAACTAGTCTAGAAATGTAAAGTCTTCAAGAATATATTATTTATGAAAACTATTTCTTTTGAAATAATTGAGGTTGATACTGCAATCAAGTTGAACTCTGGTAAAGAGAACAACTCAGACAGCGGCAATGCAGAAGAAAGTAGAAACAATAATGATGATAAAGGGGAAAAGGACTCTGAAAAGCCAAAATTGGTGGAGGATGGATCAGACGAAGGTCTGAACTTTGTTCAACATCAGACAGTCCTTGACTGTTCAGGTAGGATAATCACTAGGTGATTGGGTAATGACAGTGACAGATATTATAGTTCACATATTAGAGTTACATATGTTTTTTATCAGCTGGGTAGAAATAATAGTCAAGAGGCATACATTTGTGAGCACCGGTTTTTATTTAGAATAATGTGGAGTCCTTAAAAACACTTAGAAGAATGATGAAATTTGTGAAATAATGAATAAAATAAAATAAAATAATGAAACACTTAGAAAAATAATAAAATAATAAAAACACTTAAAACACTTAAAAACACAGAAAAATAATGAAATTTGTGAAATAAATAATAAAATAATGAAAGAGAAACATAACTGAATAAAATTGTTATTGTGGTCATTTTACATTAATCAAATAGAAAGTGTTTCTGCATTTTATGACATGGTGTATTGATCTTTTTGATGACTAAATTATGCAATAAAATATATCCTGTAATTTATACATGACTTCTTCAGGATAATCCCATTTGATCTTAATAACTTTTAAGATTTTTTTTTTTTTAACTTTTAAGATTTTTAATGAGCCTTTTTTTCCCCCTGGTTATTAAGTTAATACTGGTCGGAGTGAATTAGAACAGCATTTCTAAAAATGTGGTCTGCAGAGCCCTGGGGGATTGCTGGGACCTTTACAGGAATTTTGCAAAGTGAGACTACTTTCATCATAATACTGATATATCAGTAATATAATTCATTGTAATACTGAAATAATGTCATTTGCCTTTTTACCCACTGAATGGACATTTGCAGTGATGGTACAAAAGCATTGGTGAGTAAAATTGCTGGTGCTTTCTTTTGCATGAATAAAGGCAATGTATCCCATTGTACTAGTCGTCATTGTGTTCTTCGTGACCAACCACTGGCAGAAGAAAGAAATAGCCAGTGCCAGTCAAGAACATCTTTGATGGAGCAGTAAAAATTATTAATCTTATCGAATCTTGCTTTTTCAAATATACATCTTTATAATTGCCTGTGAGGTAAAATGGCAGGTTTATAAAGCAATTCTGCTGTAAACCAAAATGTGAAGTTTGGGTTGAGGAAAAATACTTGTATGATAGTTGAAGTTGAGAACTGAACTGGCCACTTTTTCATGGAACATCATTCTTTTGCAAAAGAATGACTGACAGACAAACTATTATCATTTAGACTTGGGTATTTGGCAGCCACTTTTTTAAAAGATGAAATGAGCCTGCTATTTCAAGGAAAATAATTAACAGTATCTTTTGTCAATGATAAAATTTGGGCTTTCAAGTGAAAATAGAATTTTGGAAAACTTGTGTATGCCATTCCAATATTTAGACTTTTCTGATAAAATATGATGATGGTATTAACCAATGAGATTTTAAAAAATACTAAATATTTAAACAAATTAAAAAAAATATTTTAAATATACCAAAATGTGTTAACATTTTGAAGGTCTGCATAAGTCAGTGAATTATCATTTTCCAAATGACCAGTGCAGGGTAAAAAATCCATTCAGCATGAAAGATAGATGTATGGATTTTAATAGGACAAATACATAAAGCTCACTGATATGGTTATAAATTTCACATTATAACTACTCTTTAAGAAAATACCCCTTATTGAGTTTTAATATAGTATCAAAGAAGAGTATCCACAATTACCTGAGAAAGTTATTACATTTCTCCTCCTCTTTCCAAGTACATGTCTTTGAGACCAGATTTTCTTCATATACTCTTAAGTGAAACAAGAGATTGCAATATATTATACAAGTAGATTTGAGAATCTAGCTGTCTTCTATCAAGCTAGATATTAAAAATTTAAAACAATGCCATTCTTCTTAATGATTTTTTGAATATATAGTTGTCATAAAAGTATTATATTTATGTTAATATGTAATTACTATTAACATTATTTTTAAATGAATAAATAAATCTGTATAATACTTTTCAGTTTTTATTTCTAATATGGTAATTATCAATAGATGTAACATAAACGAAAGCTGTTTTGGGTTCTCAATAATTTTTAAGGCTATAAAGAGAAGCGGAGGTCATGAATTTTGAGAACTGCTGACTTAGAGTGTGCCTGGGATGTGGTTAGCTCTCAAAGTTGGGCTGGGTGACTCAGGATCACAGTTATCAGGAAATGAGGCATTATAGTTGAGATTAGCTGTTGGCCCAGTTTAAAGATTTCATTTATTTTATTTATTTGAGAGAGAGAGAGAGAGCGAGAGCGCATGCATGTGTGGGCGCAAGCGGGGGAGCAGCAGAGGGAGAGGGACAAGCAGACTCTGTGCTGAGTGTGGAGCCCAACTCCCTGATTCGATCTCATGATCCTGAGATCATGACCCAAGCCAAAATCAAGCATCAGATGTCCAACCCATTGAACCACCCCAGGCACCCTGCTCTTGGCCTAGTTTATGCTGTACTTGTTTCTGTTGTTTCAGAACTGCATGAGTTCCTTCATGCATGAGTTCCTACCATATAGTCCACTTATATTATATGGAGGCTGAGAGTGCTAGGATTGGCAGTGAGGGACTAGAACTAAAGGCTCTTGCATTTGAAATAAGTAAGCAATAAGGTTTGCAAAGCCTGCTTATTAATAAGATCAGTATTCTTTTTGGATAAGCTAATTCCCTTCTGGAGATAATCTTTTCCTTAAAGAGGAAGTGATATATATTATAGAGAAACACGCTGGACTCTCTGGATTTTAAAAAGTTGCAAAATTTGGTCTTTCTTAACAGAATATGCCTTTTTTCCTTCTTTCTTTTTTTTAGAATATGCCATTTCTAATTATCTAACCTAGAATGGCTGAGATTGAGCATTTATGCTCATTGGCAGATTATCATCTTTCATGGCCAAGATATGGAAGGAACTCAAGGACACTTAAAGGGGAGTGGGAAATACAGGCTTCCAGTTATGGAATTAATAAGTCATGGAATAAAGGGCACAGCATAGGGAATTCAGTCAATGGTATTGCTTTTTTTTTTTCAGTCAGTGATATTGTAATAGCATTATATGGTGACAGATGGTAGCTATGCTTGTGGTGAGCATAGAGCATGTTATAGAGTTTTGAATACTATGTTGTACACTTGAAACTAATGTAAAATTGTGTGTCAATTATGCTTAAATTAAAAATTTTTTTTAAAGGGAAAAAAGAAAATAACCAGTTATTTCAACTTGAAACAGAGATAAATGTCTATTTCACAGGGTTGTTAGATAATTAAATGAAAAATACATGTGAAAGTACTTTGTAAATCAAGGTACATGACACCAATGTTATTCTTGTGAGCCATAAATATTTGTTGAATGAAAGAACAAATAGCAGATAAAACACAAAATAAAACTTTATGGTTGTACTAAACTTCAAACTCATTCCTACTTTCAACACAATATAGATGAACCTGAATTAAAAGAATTAGATTCTCAACTTCAAGATGCTATTCAGAAGATGAGGAGGCTTGATAAGATATTGGTGAAGAGACAATATAGAGAAAAAGAAATTAAGAAGCAAGGTCTAGACATGAGAATAAAGCTGTGGGAAGAACTCAAGGTAAGGAATGTTTACCATATGCTGACATGGAAGAAAATTTCCTCTAAGATGAGTAAAAGCATGGACTGCGGTTGTATCAGTGTAGTCTGCCTTTATTGATTTATTTTGTGGAAGTAGGACAGTGGTGCATATATATCTGTATTGGATGGTGGGTGAGGGAGTTAGTTTTCTTGAACTCGACAAGGTAACTTAGCAGCATTCCAGATTTCAGGCACTGTTTAGACACGTTCATTTTCCACGGACAGCACGGTAGACCTCTCTTCCCAGTTTCAGGCTGGGGTTTCTCCATCTCTGGAATACAATGTCATGTGGCACCTACATTTGAGGATGTATGTCTGCTTTTTCTTCAGCAAGCTTAGAGTTTGGAGATAAATTAATAAATATACCAAACATTTAACCCTCTGCTGACCATTATTACTTGAGTAAACTTTTGTGACCAGGAAGTGGGGAGTTCACTGTGTCATACGCCGGTCAGGATCTCTTAGAAGCTGTGAAGTGCTTGTGGTCTTTGACCATGTTGTATTTGCTTCTGTCTCAGTACATTTCTAGTGCTCTGTTAATGTACCTTGGCCTTCTTGGACTTTTTATTCTCTGTAGTATTGAGAGGTGGAAGTTGACCAGATGTTTGCGCTGACTTGATGTATAGCCATTGGCTCATGTTTGAACTTTGCCCCTTAAAGGAGAGCGCTTTTAAAGTAAGGAATATTATAAAAACAGATTGGTTGTTTTTGATAAATTCCTCCTTGATTAGTTTATTGACTTCAAGGAAATTTCCTAGATGATAATATGAATTAAAAAAGAAGTAATTGGGACGCCTGGGTGGCTCAGTTAGTTAAGCGGCTGCCTTCGGCTCAGGTCATGATCCTGGCGACCTGGGATCGAGTCCCACATCGGGCTCCTTGCTCGGCCGGGAGCCTGCTTCGCCCTCTGACTCTGCCTACCACTGTGTCTGCCTGTGCTCGCTCTCTCTCTCTGACTAATAAATAAAAAAAAATCTTAAAAAAAAAAAAAAAAGAAGTAATTAAGAACACATTTTTATAAGATTCCCAGACAGGCCATGAGCTAGAAAGAAAGCACCATACAAAATTCAGTGCTTTAAACTAGAGAAATGATTTGTGTAAATTTTAGCAGAAAAAGTTAGTCTATCAGTTACTCTTATTGAATCTCAAAACAAACTTTTACTTGTTTGGAAATAAGAATGATAACTGGACCCATAATAAAATACAGCATCAATCTTGAAATGTCTGAAACTATAATTCGATGATGTACCTTTAGGTTACTAATTAGTTATAGACATACTAAACAGAAGCTGAAGAAGATTTAACCAAGATAATCATTATGTAATGATAGACATATATTCCAACTCTATTAAAAAGACTATTAATTGCTAGAATTTTGTGGGAACAGGAACATTAATAAATTTCCTAATTAAAGAAATACAAATGAATCTTCTTTTTTGTATGTACACAGTTTGGATTCCATGGAATTAAAAAAAATTGATGAGTATAGTTACCTTCTTTTTCCATGTTTAAACTTGTTTCTCTTTTATTAGTTGGCAAAAACTGGTGAAACTTTGCAAAGTAATGAGGAAATGGAAAATACAAAAAAGTTTCTAGCTTTGACTGATGCATCAGAAGAAACTGCCGGTGAGTAAAATTTGTCTTTGTTTTTATCTCAGAGTCATAGATTATTTGGATTAAAGTAAGATTTCCAGTTCATCTGTTTTTTCTTTTTCTAAGCCTAACTTAGGGGAAATGATCACATTAGGTGGGATTATATGGAACTCTCCTGAGTATAGAGAAGTTTCAGAGGCCTCTAGGGTTTGTATCTGCTCACAGGTGTGGGGGCAGCACAGTGAAAAACTGGGAAAGAGACAAAGTGTCTTTGCCTTTACTTCTGTGCCTCTTAGATACCTCTAGGCACCCAGTCTATGCAGATTGTCTCCTAACTGCCTAGAGTCCTCCCATGGAGGGTCTACTCAGGCTTCTGCAACCCCTTTCATAAAAACCCATTACTGATTTGTCCTACTGCCTGTTCTCTTCTAGTCTTGCTTTTGAGACCAGCCAATTAATTGTGCACGTTTTTACATTCCCACCTTGTGTTTACGTGTGTCTATGTTCCTTCTTTTCCTCCTCCTCTTCCTTTATCTTCTCTTCCTCCTTCATCTGCAGAAGTATTATGGAGTCTTGTAGTCTGTAACTTACTTATACGATGGTAAAAATTTTAGGGATTGGGAAGCAGTTGATATATTTTGGTGGACCACTTTGCAAATCCTTTAACCTATGTCACGTAAGTGGTTCTCCGGTATTGCTTGGGCGTAGGACCGATTCTGAGCAAAGGCCTCTGATTTCTCTGAGAATCCTGGGATCCATCTGTCTTTTGCAAAGTGAATGTCTAACATTGTAGAAGCCCGAGAACCGGATTCAGACTTCTGTAGCTGTTTAGCATGAGCTTTGATATGAAAGAAATTCCATCAAGTTTGTTTCTTTCTGGATCCAGGATTGAGAGCTCAGAAGCTGCTTGGGCCTGAGGGATTTGGGTTTGGAATATACCAAATGTTTCTACCCAAGAGGGTGGGTGCCTATCTGAGTTGCCCTTTTTTATGACTAATGACTTTTTTTTTTTTTTTTAATGAGTCTTTATGAGTGTCTCCTTGATAGCTCCATATCTAGATTGGCCTTATCGAAATTTACCTTTTGTATATCCTAATTAAAACACCAGTGGAGCACCTGGGTGGCTCAGTGGGTTAAGCCTCTGCCTTCGGCTCAGGTCATGATCCCAGGGTCCTGGGATCGAGCCCCAGAGCTCTGCATTGGGCTCTGCTCAGCAGGGAGCCTGCTTCCCCCTTCTCTCTCTGCCTGCTGCTGCCTACTTGTGATCTCTGTCCATCAAATAAATAAATAAAATCTTTAAAAACAAAAACAAAAGCACCAGAAACTCTTTGCCTGTTCAAATCATAGATCATTTACTTTCTGCTTTTTCTATTTTGTTATAGAAATAACACGTATGTAATCTGTATTAGAAAATATTGGTAAACAGGAAGAAAAAAAATCGCCAAAATTCTTAACATGCAGAGATAATCATTCTTAATATTTTTGCTTACTCTTTATTTTTTGAGACATTTTTAGTGCAAATATCCACATATATTTTAAAAATAAAAATGAGATCAAATTATATATATGGTATTTTGTGATTGGTTTTCTAATTTGTATCTCATGAGCACCTTTAGCTGTCAGGAAGAACAGAGCTGTGTGGTAGTTAGTTTCCAAGATGTTTGCCATCAGTTCCTTCCCTCTGTGTGTGTTCATTCCAGTCCTCGTAGAGGGGCAGAGTCTTCGTCTTCCTGTATTTTCAGGCTGGGCTGGGCTGGGATTTCTTAATGAGTCTTTCTAATTCATTTCTAACTCATTTCTAATGAGTCTTTACAGCAGAAATAATCCTACACCAATTCCAGCCCTAGCCATTAAAGGACTAGCAGTTTCTGCTTCTCTTCTTAGAAGGTTTACTCAGAGGAAAACCATCCATCCTGTAAGGTGTGAGACAATGCTGAAGCTGCCATGCTTTGAAAAGGTCCAAACAAGCCACATGGAGAGGCTACACGGAGGGAGTGATGCTGGCCAGTTCCCACCTAGAGTGAGTTCAGTAGTGTCCCACCAGAATTCATGTCTCCCTGGAGCCCCAGGATGTGACCATATTCAGAAATAGCATCTTTGCAGATGTAATTAGTTAAGACGAGGTCATACTAGATTAGGTGCCCCCCCTTTTATAAAGATTTTATTTATTTATTTGACAGAGTAAGAGATCACAAGTAGGCAGAGACTGAGGCACAGAGAGAAGGGGAAGCAGGCTCCCTGCTGAGCAGAGAGCCCGATGAGGGGCTCCATCCCAGGACCTTGGGATCATGACCTGAGCTGAAGGCAGAGACTTAACCCACTGAGCCACCCAGGCGCCCCTGTTTGGTGTTCTTCTAAGAAGAGAAGACACATAGAGACACGGAGACACAAGGACCCAGGAAGAAGGTCATGTGAACATAGAGGCAGTGATTAGAGTGATGTAGTTACAAGCCAAGGAATGCCAAGGATGACCGGGAGCCACTGGAAGCTTGGTAGAGACAAGGAAGCATTCTTCCCTAGAGACCTCAGAGGAGCAAGACCTTGCTGATAGCTTGATTTCAGAGGTCTAGCTTCCAGAACTGTGAGAGAAGAGATCTCTTTTGTCTTCAGCCACCCATCCCAGAGTTATCTGTTAGAGCAGCCCTTGGAAACTAGCATAACAACTGTTCCAGTATTTCAGTGGAGGATATGAGGATGTTTCATTCCTGTCAAAAATCATGCAGAGAATAGCCAAGGCTAGACATAATGGTCTCAGGTGAACTGCTCTGGAGACCCCAGCCCAATGCAGCCACCCCAGCTGAGGCCTTAGTCATGGTGGAGCAGAGACAAACTGTTCCTGCCGTGTCCCTCAAATCACTGACCCACAGAATCGTGAGCATAATAAACTAGTTACTGTTTTGCACCACTAAGTTTTGTTTTGTTTTTTACTTTTTTTTGTTTTGTTTTTTACTTTTTATTTTGAAATAATTTTAAACTTAAAGGAAAGTTACAGAATAACCCATAGAGTTCCTGTTTACCCAGCTTCCCCTAATGTTAGTATCTTGTATAAACCATAGTACAGTTGGCCCTTGAACAACATGGAATTGAACTTCATGGATCCACTTATATGTGGATTTTTTACAGTACAGTCCTGTAAATGCATTCTATCTTCCTTATGATTTTCTTTTTTTTGGAAAATTTATTTTTCATTTGAGAGAGAGAACATGAGTGGGAGAGGGAGAGAGAGAATCTGAAACAGATTCTGTGCTGAGGTTAGAACCTGATGTGGGGCTCGATCTCACAATCCTGAGCTCAAGACCTGAGCTGAAACCCAGAGTCAGATGCTCAACTGACTATACCTCCCAGGCACCCCTGTATGATTTTTAAAAAACATTTTAAAATTTAAATTCAATTAATTAACATATAATGTATTATTGGTTTCAGAGGTCCAAGCCTGTGATTCTTCAGTCTTATAGAATACGCAGTGCTCATTACATCACATGCCCTCCTTAAAGTCCATCACCCCGTTACCCCATCCCTCCACCTTCTCTCCCCTCCAGCAACCCTCAGTTTGTTTCCTGCGATTAATAGTCTCTTATGGTTTTTCTCCCTCTCTGGTTTCATCTTGTTTTATTTTTTCCTCTCTTCCATTATGATCCTCTGTTTTGCTTTTAAATTCCACATACCAGTGAGATCATATAATAATTGTCTTTCTCTGATTGCCTTGTTTCTCTTAGCCTAATACCCTCTAGTTCCATCCATGTCATTGCAAATGGCAAGATTTCATCTTTTGATGGCTGCATAATTTCCATTGTATATATATACCACGTCTTCTTTATCCGTTCATCTCCTGATGGACATCTAGGCTCTTTCCATAGTTTGGCTGTTGTGGACATTGCTGCTATAAATACTGGGGTGCAGGGGCGCCTGGGTGGCTCAGTGGGTTAAGCCTCTGCCTTCGGCTCAGGTCATGATCTCGGTCCTGGGATCGAGTCCCGCATCGGGCTCTCTGCTCAGCAGGGAGCCTGCTTCCCTCTCTCTCTCTCTCTCTCTCTCTCTCTGCCTGCCTCTCCAACTACTTGTGATCTCTCTCTGTCAAATAAATAAATAAAATATTAAAAAAAAATAAATAAATACTGGGGTGCAGGTGTCCCTTAAGATCACTACATTTGTATCTTTGGGGTAAATACCCAGTAGTGCAATTGCTGGGTCATAGGGTAGCTTTATTTTCAACTTTTTGAGGAACCTCCATACTGTTTTCCAGAGTGGCTGCACCAGCTTGCATTCCCACCAACAGTGTAGGAGGGTTCCCCTTTCTCCACATCCTTACCAACATCTGTCATTTCCTAACTTGTTCATTTTAGCCATTTTGACTGGTGTGAGGTGGAATCTCACTGTAGTTTTGATTTGTATTTCCCTGATGCCGAGGGATGTGGAACATTTCTTCATGTGTCCATTGGCCATTTGTATGTCTTCTTTGGAGCAATGTCTGTTCATGTCTTCTGCCCATTTCTTGTCTGGATTATATGGTTTTTTTTGGGTGTTGAGTTTGATAAGATCTATATAGATCTTGGATGCTAGTCCATTATCTGATATGTCATTTGCAAATATCTTCTCCCATTTTGCTGGTTGTCTTTTGGTTTTGTTGACTACTTCCTTTGCTGTGCAAAGCTTTTTATCTTGATGAAATCCCAATAGTTCGTTTTTGCTTTTGTTTCTATTGCCTTTGGAGATGTGTCTAGCAAGAAGTTGCTGCACCCAAGGTTGAAGAGGTTGCTGCCTGTGTTCTCCTCTAGGATTTTTTTTTTAGTATTAAAAAATTTTATTTAGTTATTCGAGTGAGAGAGAAATAGAAAGTGCACATGAGAGAGAGCACAAGCAGGGGTAGAGGAGCAGAGGGAGAGGGAGAAGCAGGCTCCCCGCTAAGCAGGGAACCCGATGGAGGCTCGATCTCAGGAGCCTGGAATTATGACCTGAGCTGAAGGCAGACCTTTAACCAACTGAGCCACCCAGATGTCCTACTCCTTTAGGATTTTGATGGATTCCTGTCTCAC